ATCCTCTCTCCTCCCAGCAGCAGCTCAACATCTTCAGCAGAACCAGCACAGCATCAGCTGCAGGAGCTCAGATGGCAGGAGTGTGTGTGCACAGGAGTTACTGTCAGCTGGACAGTACCAGCAGGTGTTAGGCCAAAGCTAATCCTCTTTCTTATCTAATGTGCAATTAATTACAGATGTATAAATATACAATACATTACATAAAATTAAATCCCTGTAAATTAGATAACAAGCAGCAAAAAGTAAAGTCTTTGCTTTGAAATACCTTGCTAATCTGTAGTAAGAACTATTAGACATGGAGCAAACAAAACCCTTTCTCAGCAGTCTGCAAATAGCACTCTCTGGAAACAGGGCTCCCTTCTCTTCTGTATTCCCAGAATAAAGAAATCTTCCTTAAAAAGGTACTTAAAGTGCATTTCTAAAATACAGTGTAGGAGRTTTAGCTTAATTTTAAAATACCCGGAAGCTCCAACATAATTTTCAAAGGACAAGAATTTTCTCTTTCCTTTTGCTGAGGAACAAGAAGCCCCAGGAGAGCAGAATTTTGCCCGCACCCATCTCCCCCGTGCTGCGTGTCCCTCATGCTGCGTGTCCCCTGTGCTGTGTGTCCCACGGGCTGTGTGTCCCCCGTGCTGTGTGTCCCACGGGCTGCCAGACCCGCTGTCCCCTGCCAGGGGCTCAGACCCGAGAGCTGCCTGACTCTGGGACTGCACACACAGCACCTAACCAGCACTTTGGAAGGTCAGGAGAAGGCAGCTTTGCATATTTTTTTCCTTTCTCATTCTGCTTCCAAAAAGAAATTTCTAGCATGTTGGGCTAAGCCTTGAAGTGACTGGAAATTCACTTTTTTATTTGGTTTTTTTTTTGGTTTTTTTGTTTGTTTTGTTATCTTTTTCAAGAAAACTTGGATTGGTTTCAGTCCAGTTTTAAGCAGGGAAACCCAAATGTCTCAAAGCAAGCTTCAGTAATTGGAGAAAAACTTTGTCTGCCTTTATGTCAGACCTGAAAAAGTAATGCCCATGTGAACACAAGGACCTGGTCWGTCCCAGATGACACAGCTTTAAGAGATGCTGCTGGTTAAAACCAGGCTTTTGCTCTTCTGATSATCTGTTATCCACACAGAGCTCAAGTCACCAGAAGCTGCTTGGAGTTTTTAGATAGAAGAGTAACATTTATGCAACACAACTGTAACACTTCCAGCTCTGTGTAAAATAAGCGTCTGTCGCTTCCTACTTTTAAAGGAAGATCTCTTAATCATGATTCTGTGCAATGAATATACATCCACTTGGTTCATTCTCTGGCTTATCCAAAGCAAAGACTTAGCAAACTAGTTTTCTTCTAGTAAAAAAAAGAAACAGATAAAAGTTAAAATGCTCTCAGTGTGTCACAACTACCACCACCTCAATCACTCTGCCTTCTCAAACAGTTCCACTTTCATTACACACAGTGGTGATGGCAGCAGTAACTTAATGCTTAGAATTAACCTAATTCTTGAGATCAGCTTAGCTGCAGTGTGAGGAGCCCTCCAGCAGGAAAAGCTTTTATCCACACACTGGAAGTGCTTTATCATCATTGCATAACAAAGGAATATCATCACTGTAGTAAGAGTCACACACAGTTAAASAAGACAAAAACAGAAGGAAAAAAACCAAAAATACCATTCCTATCATGTTCCTGGGTTGCCAGGATGCTCCCTCCCTCAGGCTTCCAGTTCTGAAATAAATCTGAGGACCAGAGACAGCATGAGCTATGATTTACCTTGAGATATGTCAAGATATGTCCTAGCAAGTGTCAGACTCCACCTCCCTGCTCCTCTGCCATCCGTGCTCTTAGGAGGCCTCGTTATGCACTGCCCTTTAGTGAACAATGAAAACCCACAGAGCAGAAATGCTGCTCTCTGTGGGATTCCAGTCCCACGCAWCTTGGGCACAGAACTGCAGAGCACAGCGTGAGAGCTGATGTGTGACCTGAATCCAAAGCACTKCTGGAGCTGCACTCATGTCCCTGCTGCAAGAGTAAAAAACCCTGTTACCTCTCTCTTGAGAGGCTGCACCCTCCAGAGGAAATCCCTTTCCATTGCTCAGGATCACAGCCCTGTCAGTGCCAAGCTACAGCAAGAGCACAGTAAGAGACACACACATCCCCAAGCTCCCTGAACACCTAAGGGAGAGGAGTTCACATCTCTGAACGAGTTCATTCTGCTTYTCTTTCCTGGGGCAAGGACCCAGGCTTTGGCCACAAGGAGAACTTGCACTGKAGGTCAAGAACTGACAGCACCCAGCTGATGTCCAACAGGCCAGTTATGACATTCCACTGAGCAGGACCAGAGTCCACCTGCTCTGTCACCCAGGAAGGACTAACTCTGAATATGGTGAGGTTTAGCTGATGAAAAYTGTAGCAGGGAAATCAGGAGACACTCAAGAGTTATCCCAAAAGGAACTGAAAGTGTCCTGTGGCTTCCTGGAGAACACCACAAGTGCTGGGCCCAGGAACTCGGCTTAGGAAGGTGTTGGATGCTCCATGGTCAGGGGTGACAGGGGAGTGTCCCTTCACAGCCCCTGGATGTTCCCATGGCCAGGGGGGGGGTGACAGGGGAGCATTAAGCTGGGGATGCCCTTCAGAACGATGCTGCAGAACTGCCCTGACACAGCCACAGGAGCCCCAAAGCTCTTCCCAGAGAGGCAGAACTGCTCCTGCAGGACCAGGCAGTCAGGCTCAAAGCAGGAAGAGGAGATCTGCCTTCCATGGTGATCCAGGGACCAACTGCACTTTCATTTCCATTTAACACTCTCCATCTGTCAAACACAAGGATGAGCATCTGAAATTTGGGGGATTTTATCTTCTATTTCAGTCMTGTGGTCCATTTCCCCTCCTATCAGTACATTCTGCTCAGCCCAGTTCAGAGGCTGAGGAGTGAGWGTTGATGTAAACTCTTCTGGGAAGGAGTTAAACCCAGCACTGTTCACCTGAACCCCAAGAGTTTAAAGGCAGATTGTTCCAGTCAGCCCCCCCAGCTCATGCCTGTTGGATCCTGGAAACTCAAAAATTGCACAAAGTCCAAAATCCAGTGCACCCAGATAGGTTTGTCCAATATCAGACTGAATAGTTTAACTCATAGGCTGGATCCAGAAAGCCTGAGGAGCTGCTGCAGCATTCCTGGCTGGGTAATGTCTCCATTGAAGAGTTTATCTTGCCCTGGCAYTGGAACTTTGCCCTGAGGGAACCATTGACGACTGCCAAGTCACAAATTGAATGAAAACCCTGCAGCAGTCTAGACAGACAACAACAGACAGTGGGACAGACGCTAAAATGTCGGCTGAAGTGGGAAAACAACCGTTATAAGAAATTTTTTTTTTCTTTTCAGAGTCGTGCATAATCACTCAATTTTTTTGATTTTTTTTTTCTTTCTCTTTTTGTTTGGCCACATGCTACTAGTACAATTCTGGTACAAGTGAAAAGAAACAAGATAGGGTTACAATAGCTAGAAAATGTGCTGAAGGAGTGGGAAAGGTGAGGGATGTTAAGCCACAGGATTACATACAAGAGAAACTGTCAAGAATCACAAAGAGAAAATGAGAGATAACACTATCTATCAGAAGGTGAGCTGGGGGAACAGATGAGAACATTACATGGACTCAGTACTTCATCTGGCCCGTGCGTCTTCGAGCCAGTTTTGATCTGTGAAAAAAAGAAGTGAAAAAGGAACTTCATAAATCTGTAAAATGGCAATACAAGGAAACCATTTTGTGGCCTCCATMTGTAGCACCCCACACATGTTCAAACTGGAYATGGCTGTTCAGAAAATCACAAGTSCAAACAASAGACCCTTGCAGCTCCTGAAATACAGGGCTGGTTTGTTTTCTGATTGTTTTGGGGTTTTTTTGCCTCCCCTCTACCCTCCTCCATCCCCAGATCCCCCCAAATTGCTGAGAAGAAGATTAAATGCTGTGCCCAGTGGCTCCTGGTGTGCCAGTGTCACCGTGCACCCAGTGTCACCCTGCACCCAGTGTCACCGTGCCCCCAGTGTCACCCTGCACCCAGTGTCACCCTGCACCCAATGTCACCCTGCACCCAGTGTCACCCTGCACCCAGTGTCACCCTGCACCCAGTGTCACCGTGCACCCAATGTCACCCTGCACCCAGTGTCACCCTGCACCCAGTGTCACCGTGCACTCTGCCCTTACCGAATGGTGCCCGCCAGGAGAGGGTTGAAGGCATACAACCAGTCATTCATGTCCTTGTCATTGATGGCCTGCAGCAGCACTCCACGGTGCTTCGTGCACACCCCAAAGGTGTTGGGTGTCTGCAACATGAAGCACAATTTAAAATACAGGRTCTACAAGCACAGACAATGATGCACATTTCTTCTGAGAGACTCTGCTCTGTCACATCCCTAAAACCCACCAGACCTAAGGTCTTTCATTTAAGTTTCACTGGTGATTTCCAGGACATTTGATTCCCTGCAGGAATTTTTTTCTGTGTTGCTTTGTGGGTTTTTTTTTTTAAACAAATCAAACACACAAGCCCAAAAAACCATACAGAGGAAGCTGCAAAACTCCAGCATGCAGGGTGATGGTACCAACACCTGCTCCCAAAAGCTAATTTGATGTGTTCAGGTTCACTCTCTGGTACAAAACCATATGGAACCCTGAACAA